CAGAGCAGCCACTGTGGTGCCGGCGCTCACCTCCTGGCCGGTGACGAGCAGCACGCTGTGCTCCTTGCCGTGCTGCAGCTGCCTGTAGACGTGGTCAAACACCAGCAGCTCACTCCAGCAGTTCTGCAGCAGCTTCATCTGGTCGCCCACCTGAAACACAGCGAGAGCAGCGCTGCTGTCACCCCCTATCCCTGGGGCATGGCCGTGGGGCAGCCCAGGCTGCACCTGCACCAGGTTGTTCCCAGCTGGCCAGGGGAGCTGGGCTGCCCCGGTCCCTGCGGAAACCCTCCAGCCCCCAGCTCTGCCTTCCAGGGGCAGCTCCACACTCCAGCCCTGCGGCAGTGACAGCTTCAATGCACTTCATCATCTGCTAAAGCATGATGTCTCGGTAGGATTGGAACTGGGCAGTGCTTGCACCCATCTGTGTCTCATCCTGAGAAGATTCTGGCAGACTGGCATCCTCTTAAAAAAACAACCTATTTTCACGGCTCAAGCAGCCAGAAGTAGAGCAGAGAGTCCAGTCATCAGCACCATTACGTGAAGCAGAGAGTGCAGGAGAGCTTCTGCCAGCAGGATGAGCAATGCTTTGCTGTGGATGTGGCATCAACATGATGGGTTGGAGACACAACAAACCTCTGCCTCTCTCTAAGGCACCAGGTGACCTGATCTACAGGGACTTGCCCAGCCCCAGCTGTGGTTTGTGCATTTGCTCACCAGCCCATGGCAGGGAGCACAGGGGGCAGCCCCCGCCTCACTTGGGAGTCCAGCTCCTCCAGGTAGGACAGGACTTGGTCCTCCAGGACTTTGGTCCTGACCTTCACAACTTTTTTAAAAAACCCAAAACCTCTCCATCACTGCTGCCAGCTGAGCATTTCCCAAAGCCTCATGCACACACATCTAGACCTGGAAATTTGCAGCCTGACTGTGAACAAGCCCCCAGCAAGGAGATGCTGCACCTGACCAATGACACGTTAACTGCAAAGCCTTGGCCCGGCTCCCAGTTCCCACGTCCAGCATGTAACTGGGCTGGACATTGTGCCTCCACAGTCGGTGTCAGGAGAGGACACCAAGACTGACGCCCACAGCACCGGTGAGCGAGTGTGGATTGCAACCAGCGGTGCCCCATGCTCGCCTCACACCATGCTCGCACAGCACCAACCCCGCAGACTTCCCGGTGAGGCCCCCCCAGCACCAGGGTCCCTTCGGATAGGTAGGGAGAGCCAGAGTTGCACCCCCAGCAAGGGGAACTCAGGGCTGGAGGAGGGGGACAGGGGTCTGGCGGCTGTGCAGAGCGGGCTTGGAAACAGCTCAGCGTGTTTTGGTGGCACTTGCTGGCTCTTATCAGCACGGGTTTTCCCCCACGAGGCACAATCTCCCTGAACCACACAGAAATCTGGCTGCGTCCCCGGGTGGGAGGGAATGCAGGGCC